GAGCACTTGATGATGGCTCAACGCATTTTTATAATATAGTAATATAAATTATTTGCAGTGTGTTTTAATTCTATTGATACCCTGTTTTAGAATAGCGTAAAAAGGTATTCTCATTCATGTGATGTTGTTTCAGAATAAAATATTTCACTTAGTGTAAAAGTGTGTGCATGGTAGCTCAGTTACTTTCTTAGCGTACCTGCTAGGATATACGACTTGAAATTCCAAAAAGGAGAATGCATGTATGTATATTGCAATAAGAATTATGGCAATATAAGCTGGGACACCTTGCATTAACGTAAGGCATGCCCAGGTTTCTCTAGTAGCGTTTTGTCATAACCTTTACCGGTTATTGAAGCAACTGCATGATTCACTGTGTCTTCTTCTCTTTAAGAAGGCCGTAGATATAGCGGGACCCAATCTACTCGTCATAGGTGGAGACTTTAACGCAACTCTTTTTGGGCAGCTACTTTATGCATCTGCTGGCATCTACTTGTGGACCATGTTTACAGGTTTTTACAAGGAAGGAAGCCAGAAATTCTAGACACAGAGGTAGAAATAGGCTTCACAGTACTAAGAAAGTTCATTATAGTCCATAAATAGCTTTCAGCTCAACAGCATATATCAGGTTGCTACAGCTACAGAAGCTGTATAACATATTGCCAAATGGACGAGATAGAAACTGAGGCAAGATTAAGCATAACCAGTAAAAAGAATGATGGATTACGGTGAATTGTAAAGAATATTACAACAGAAGATAGAGGGCAGCAGAAGAAGCAGCCAAATAATCACTACAGTGGAAAAAGAATACCACGCAATAAGGAAGTGAATCAAGCTGTAGAATAAGAAGAGATGAACAAGTGAAATGTCACAAGCCTATCTGAAAACAATCTTCAGTTTTCTGTCTTACCAAAAGAAGCGATTAAAAGAAAGCAGAGAGGAGACAGAGAGTTGTTGAAAAAAATTGTGGAGGTGGTGTGAAAGGGAAGAATTGAAGTCTTACACGTAGCACAGTCAGGTTAAAATTCAATAATGATTTGAAACACTTGCAGTACCAAAAATAATTAGGTTGGCATAATATCTGCTGTAAAACCTGCCAAGACATAGGTAAGTGCTGCTTAGATTAAACGGATACCTTTAGAAGAGAAGCACGTGGCCTGGTGCAAAAAACAAATGCACAAGTAAATCATGGGTGCAGTACATTTCCAATAGAGATAAATACGTAGCAAAGAGATTCTGGAAGCACGTAACAACACTGCTATCAACTACAAATTTGCAGATGCCTGCAAAAGATGAAAATGGCAAACTTTTTCAAGAAGCCTGCGCTCTGTGTTACATGAGCAAAATCATTAATGATAACTTCTGTTAGAAAAAAAGTGCAGCCTGTGCTTGACCAGATTCTGTAACAAAGAATTTTGAGAGCTCAAAATTAAAATGCACATTGAATGCCTTTATTGGAAAAGAAAGTAAAGGATAATGTCCCTGCCAGCATGGAAACAGAAATAGTTGAAATTTTCATGGCAATATTCATACAGCTTGATCCAAATAGCAAGGCATGGCTAACTGTAGTGCCACAGGAAGAGTTACTAGAAAAAAACTCCAGGCCTGCGTGGTAGGCACAGCACAGCCACAGTGAAAGCTAGAAGAGCGGCCTTTCGGAGCCTTTTGAAAACACTCATTGGGTAACTACTGCAAGCACACTTGCTTGGTACCCACTAGGGCAATAATAATAAACTTTTGAGTAGTAGGCCGACATTCGATGCTATTCTTCGTCATTCTTCTGAGAAGCGTGGTATCCGCTAAACACTTGCAAAGAATTTTGTGCCAATTGTTTATGCAGTGGCTGATGACGATGAAGAATTATGGCTGTAGTAGGTATGTGCCACAGTTAATAGGAAAACAAGAACAAGCTTTTGTAATGGGTTGGAGCATTGGATGGTCCACTCGTTATGCTAATCGCATTGTGCAACGACTGGTTGTTCTATAAGTGTTCTATAAAACGCCCTATAAGTGGTATTCACGCTATTGCTTTCCCGTCATGAAGCCTGCCTAAGGCGAGTTTGACTACAAGTTACAAGCACCGGCGTAACTCAGTGGTAGGTGTAACTCAGTGGTTCACACGATGTGGACACCAGCGATGTAGACATCTCGACATCTCGCATTCCCTGTGGCACATACCTGCTATAGAGCAGGTATGTGCCACCGGTGGCTACGTACATACAAGAGATGGACAGACCCACGCCTTAAGAAGCTTCGCCCCTAAAATTTGTTTGGGAAGGCTGGAAATGCAGAAAACAAGGGGGAATTCAAGGGAGACTGAAGCAAGGATGCCTTCTGTTTCTCTTGTGGGTAACACTTTATGTTAAGGGCATTCAATGATGTTTGAAGGACCTTGACATAGGACGTCATTTTTCTTGCATACGTAACTGGGAAATGGTGAAAAAGTATTTCTTTGCAGATGTACAAAGATGACATGGTTTTACTGGTGGACAATTCCAATAAATTCAAAAGATTAAGTCGGAAGTATGTCTAACAATGAAGTGACATACCAAGACCTCAACGTTATCACAACAAATTGGGGATTGTCGATTTTGATGAAAAAAAAAAGGGTTAATCAGTTCAACAGCAAGTTATTTGCAGAGTTGGGATTATTGCCCAGGTGTGTCCATGAAGAAAATACTTGTAGTATCTATCAAATAATGTGAGAATAATGCAAAACCAAACTGCAAAAGAGTAATGGCACCAATTCTAACGTTCAGTTTTGTACTTGTAATTTTTTTAGGTCTTTTCAGGGTTGGAAGAAAACACACAGATGAGGCATCTGTGTTCTACAACAAAACCTGAAAACTAGTGACACTGAATTGGAATGCAAGAGTATTCACCCTGCTAGACCTGTGGAAGGCATGCATTTTTTATAGGGTCTGGGTATCGGAGCGTATGAGAGTATTAACACCATGGTCAGTGGTTGATGTATCATAAGCAAGAGATGTGTCGAGTGACTATTGGTGGGAAAGAAAACGGGCACCCAAGATCCAAGTCGATATAACTGGAGCTATTTCGGGCATATGCAATAGTACATCACCTTTTATGACAAAAAAAAAAGGCATAGGATGATAGAGTGCCACATGAAACCGCCACTGTAAAAAAAAAAAAAGAGAAAAGGGAAAGAAAAAACAGGATGCCAATGTGGTTTCCGCACTATGAACGGCTGCATAAAAATTCACATTTGAAAATAAATAAATAAATATGCCCATAAACCAAATCATGCAGCAAACAAGGAAAGTGCATTTGAGTTTTCAGAAATATTTTCATGCATGACTAGATCTTTTAGGAAGGCCCAGTCACTAGCACAACTTGCAACTGGTGTTCATGTACCTCTATAATTGAAGTTTTTGTTATTTTTTCATCTAGCTATCATTCACGATTTAGTACAGAAAAAAAAATTCATTCTAGTGAGTGCTTGTGCGGGTTAGGTGGGGCAGGTTCTGGTGCTGCTTAAAGGGGGTGGCGCTACAGACGTGCGCTAGGGTGTAAGCTTCGGTGAGAGCGCGAACGCAAGAAAGAAAGACAGAGCAAGAAGACTCTTTTTCTACTTCGGGGTGTGTGCCCTCTTCTTAATTTTTTTTTCCTGCAAGACAAAACTTTATCTTACTACTTTTTCCTTATAATGTCCCCCTCGGTGGAACAGGTGTTACGATGCATGACGTTCGTATGCACAAGTTTTTCGATTAGTTTCACTTTTTTACCTCTTGAGATGGGCGCTATTCAAAAATCGAGTTCTTTGTGTCTTTCCTCTCTTTTTGCTGCAGGTCACAGGTGATATTATATTTTCAGGTTACGTGAAGAGTTGTTGGTGCACTGGTGAAAATAAAATGAGGCCGTGGATTAGAGGTGCATCAGGCACCGACTGCATGATCGTGACCATTTATCGCGCACCACATGAGATCGACAGAAGTCTGCACGGAGAGGCGCACGAGAAAAAAAGCTGACATTAGTGGTTGAGACTCGTACCTGTTTGAAATGCGCTCGCCGATTCAGCCAAATTTGGACTCTACGCGCTTAACAGGGTTATACAAAATTGAGATGCGGAAGAGTTTTTCAAGTGGGCGAACAAAACACGCGGGTTGGGTGACTTAAGTTAAGGATTCTATAGAGCTTCGTAGTTCAATGGGCTTTGTTCGTTCGAACGGTTCCTCTTATTCTTTTCAGAAGCTCCCTGTTGCGCGCAAGAAGTGGGTCAATGCGCGCATATATGGACGCGCGCCTAACCGCTAATTTGTTTGAGGTTTTCAAAAAAGAAACTTATGGCCTATGCACCTTTTGCGGCCAGGTTGTGACTGCAGTCGAAGGCGTATGAAAGCAGGATTTTATTTTGGGAGATGCCCGCCGCCCCTTCCCCCTCCAATATAAGTGTTACACTTTTCTTTCTTTCTTTTATTTTTTTCTTATTATTCGGAAGGCTGGGTTCAGGTCGTGATGTGCAGGGCCGTACTCATAATTTTTTTTTCGGGGGGGAGGGGGAGGGAAACCTAGCTTTATTATTTTGGGCTGGGCACCCCCTTAAAATGGCCATTTTCTGCTCTCTATGCCACGGTGTAAAAAAAAAAAAGAAAATTCGGGGGGGGGGGGGGGCATGCACGGCCCTGTGAGCCACCCCCTGGCTACGCCCCTACCGTGATGGCTGGCATATGCTGGCTCCCTGCTTTCAGCGTTCGACTAAACTATCTTTTGAAGGTCCCTAACTAGATTTTAAACGTAGCGCGCTTTTGCAGTTCTGGCGCTGTGCCAACGTTACCTGACCATCTATGCCTATTAAAAAAAACAATGCTTGCTGCTGTGAGGTAATTTGCCTTATTGGAACAATCAACATTTATGCAATAATAATTAGTACGTGTGAGCAAAACTGATAATAAATACAAAAATACATTTAACGCTGAGCAGAAAACAAAACCGAAACTGGTTTCATTTTTTTTTTTCGTTCAGTTCAAGATGCGAGCCTTCGACAGGAGGCTGCGCGTAGCTCATTGTAAACTTTGCTGATGCGGTGCGATGCTGGACGCATGTCGCGCACTCTCGTAGCCGTAGAGTCTCCTAAATTAATCTTAGGAAACTCTATGCTCGCAGCGATCCCGAGCACAGCGTGTCCCGACGAAGGAGGCAGACTCGCGAGCGCGCTGCGTTTAACTTGGCTCGTGTGTGGCAGCCTCGACGCGTACGGCGAAGCACCCCTCCACCGTCTCGCTGGCGTGGGAAGACGGCCGCTGCACTCTCCATCCTCTTCCCTCCACCGCCTGACGTTGCCCATCAGCGGCGGCAGCCAAAGGAGTCCCACTCGAGAATCCGTGCTATCTCGTCGCGGCCTGAAAACTTCTTCGGTGAGCACTTCCTGTCGTGTACTTCACCGGGACAGATTACGGTGCCTCCATCGCTGATGGAGATAAGTTTTGTGTGTCTCGGTTGTACGGTAGAACACAAAACGCGATGGCTCCGGCGAAACTGAGTGCTTCGACTTGCCTTTGAAGCCAGGCGCCAAACCACTTGGAAAAGCATGCCGTTGGCCGCTCAGCTGCTACGGCTCGGTGTCGTGGCCGCCGCGGGCAATGCGCTGTGTGGTGACGAACGATCGTCGAACGTTTCCTTCGTAGAAGGCACACCGCTTCTGCGAGTGTGGCAGCTATGGAGCCCCGCACTCGAGCACAGCTCGTCTGTACGAGCCCCACCGGACGTGCGCACCTACCAGACGTGGGTCTTCTCCATAGTGGCGGCATGTGTTGTGGGCCTCAGCGGTGTGTTCCCGCTTCTGCTCGTGCCTCTTGACACTGGTGTCAAGCAGAACCGCAGTAAGTGCAGTCTACATCCCTGACGTTAACCCGCCACGTCTGCGCGTAACCGTTGCTCAAAGTGAACTAGTCTCGAGTGAAAGTTCTGTCACACTATAAAGATTTCTATTGCCATGTTTGGGTGGTATCTCCCACTCGCAAGTGCCAGCTTTGAAGAGGGAAGAAAGCAGAAAAAAAAAAAAGAATAAGAAATTGTGAAGAAGACAGGGTTGTGTAACTAATAGTTCTAGAAGTACAAGATTTTTTTTCCCACTTCGCCTTAACGCTTGCGAGCACATGGATGCTTATCGACCGGCACCGTTAAGTGCCGCGCGATACGGCTAGGTCTGAGAAACAGCATCTGCGCAGTCGGAAGTGCGGTTGCGTCTTCTCGACGTTGTGCGGAATATTTATCGCCTACTTAAAGAGCTATTTGCTCAACCTTGTGGATAACGTCAATGTGCAAGCCCTCACCCTCTCACGTAGAATGCAGCCTACAGTTTACTTGCGCAAAGCTGTGTTTATGTAGTTTGTTTGCGAGTGCATATCGCGTGGCAGTGTTTTAGAGGGGGGCTAGTGGCAGATGTATATACATGCGCCTGCTTCGATTTCTATGATGTCTGATTTCTCCACAAAAAAGTTTTAAGGAGGTTTTGTTCGCATTATTTGTTTCAGATGGATGCCGTACACTTAAGCTGCTGCTTAGCTTTGCTGTTGGTGGCCTTCTAGGCGATGTGTTTTTGCACCTTTTACCAGAAGCTTGGGGACGTCTTCAGAGAGGTGTGTCTCTGCATGAATTCACTCTTCACGTGCTTTGGTTTGTTGGGTTTCTTGCTGGAAACTTGAATGTAGTACTTGGAAATTGTGCAATTAACTGTAAAAGCATTTCCACACTCACTCTTTTGACCAGGCAAATTTGCTGAATATGAGTGCAGCCAACTGTATCAGCCAGTGTCGCGGCCGTGCCAGTTTTTTGACTGGTTGCCTATAAAATGAAGCACCAAACGAACTCAGAGATCGGCAAGTGACTTCAGACGTTGCGTCTAGAATTACTCGGTTGTAAAAAGCAAAAAAAAAAGTTTCTTCCCGAGAACATTGGGTTGCCAATATATATATATATATATATATATATATATATATATTATATATATATATATATATATATATATATATATATCTTAAATTTTGGTGGAAGCTTCTATCAAGTTTCGATCTATTTCCCCGACCAGACAGGTGAAAGCGTCAAAATGTTCACCTCCAAAATCATTTATGCTACTCAATTAGCATAAGTGACTCTAGTTGCTTGTCTCGGCTTTTTTTCATGAAACCTGTAAGTCCAGATGTTAATAGTCTTTTTCTTGTGGTGTCAACTTGGTTCACTTTTGTAGGCAGTGTCGGTAATGCAGTGTGTAACTTTTTTTTTTATCTTTGATCCATAGTCGGGATCCTGGAGGTAAAATGTTATAGTGGGGACAAGTAGGTTCTTATTGATACGATGCATGGTTACTTCTCTGAATGTAGCTTTTCTTTATTTTGAGGATGTAAATCAATTATCTTGTTTTTATTACAATTCACCTAATCTGTATAAATTCGATAATCAGTTTATTTAATTTAATGATTGCATACGTGCACAAAGACAGCACTGTGTGATTTGTTGTGCAATAGTTATAAAAAATATGGATATATACTTAGCTTTTTGCACTGTGCAATGTTAGTTTCATAAAGTGTGTTTCACAGTTCACGAAACTAACATCGTGCTATGAACTATGGAATGATTGTGGCGTTGTCTAGCGCGGTGAAGTCGTAGCAATATGTCATATGTGTGTGCGAATGATATGGTTAACACAGATTTGAGCAACTACATTGGGCGAATTATGAAATGGAAGCGCACAACGTAGAAGCAGACGGAAAGACAGGGACAAGCGCTAGCGCTTGTCCCTGTCTTTCCGTCTGCTTCTACGTTGTGCGCTTCCATTTCATAATTAGTCATGTATCACCAACTCGCCCAATCAACCATTTTGACAAATTACATTGGGCGAGCTTTGGAAGCTAAGCCGGAAGGGATGGCGTTGGGAAAAGGAGTTACGTAACGCGCGCGTCATGACCTTCAGCACTTCCTTTTTTTTTATCTTTCGCCAAACGCATGGCTTACCTCCAGTGCGAGCGTGAGCGAGCGGGGTGCGCCGCGCCATCTTGCAGTGGCTCCGCTAATTATGCAGCTCACGATGCACAAAGCACAGCCACTGGCCGTGGATTTGTATTTATGGTGGTCACAATAGATTATGACATCTGTTGTCGAGAGGAGAGAGAGCGATTTGTGTCTGACTGAAAATTAACTGTAAATTCCAGACCGCGTGCTGCGCTATAGTGTTTGGCTCGTATGGTGTCTGAATCCTCGATCGGCAGCGTTTTCTGACAATGCTTTGTTAGTCAAATATATAAATTCGCGGTGAATAAAACGTACTCAGTAATGCCGCGGGGGAGTAAGCAATGCGTTTGTGTATATAGGTACCACCATTTTCAGCCCGCAGAGTAACATTTAATGTGTTACTCAATTAAAAACCTGCATCGAAGGCAGTAAGCATTTATTGGGCCAGAAGAACGTGTTATCTGCAGCAGTCACGCAATAAGTCAAAGTGCAGAAGCTTGCTGATGCCGATACACTTTATCTTACAGGTTGATGGAACCGCTAGCTGATCTCTCTTGCAGCGATGGTTCCAGACATGAGGGAAGTTCACCATAACGAAAACGCGTTCTCGACACAAAGCCGCGCCTCATTTCGCCCGCGCTGTTGCCGCTGCCCGAAGCGATGCCTCGCCTTATCACTATTGTACGGCCTCATCCCACAGCTGCCTTGGTTCGCAGGAGGATTTGGCGCGCTGCATCACTTTGAACAAGTGACATTGAAAAAAAAAAGTAATAGCTTCGCCGCACGGGCGAAGCGATAGGCAGTTTTAGAATAGCGTACGCAAAGCTTTGCGTTAACGTTTGTCGCCACTGCGTATGCCCCGTACGCAATCTCTTTGCGGTCTCCCGTTAGGTGATGGGAGTCGCGCATGACCGCTACCAATTCTCTCTTGGTGTACGCTTTTCCAAAACTGCCCGATGAATGTGATAGAAACCACTTGGAGTGTTGTACGACGTAACTTAACCATCCAGCCTGCCCCAACTCAACGAAACGCTAACGCAAGGAAACGCGGCCGCTGCAGCGAGTGGAACGACCTTCGTGTACTTCCTATAACGCTTCACCGCGAACCGTGCGGTGACGGTTTTTCTTCTTTTTTTTTTCTTAGTTCGATCTTCGGACCGGACTTACGTCCAGAACGTTCCGTCCCGGCCGCGGGGCTCGCTTTTCGACGGAGGAGAAATTGTAGAGGCCCGTGTACTCTAAGATGTTAGTGCAGGTTAAAGAACGCCACATGGGCGAAATCAAGGTCGAAATTGCCGGGCCACCTCACTTGCGGCGCCCCTCATAATCATATCGTGGTTCTGGGAGGTTAGCCCATATTATTATTATTATTATTATTATTATTATTATTATTATTATTATTATTATTATTATACGCACTTTACTCACTTTATTATTACCCACTTTATTACTTTACCCACTTTATTATTATTATACCCACTTTATGGGGGTCTACCCACTTTACTCGTCAATTGATTGTGCTCTTTAGTTTCTGAGCAGGCAGTACTTAAAAAAGTCCCCTTAAGTATGTGCTCTGGGTCTCCCCCTCAGCGGCTTTCTTCACACGAGGTGGTCGGTCCGGATCCCGCGAGTTGCTTCTCCGTAACATTCTTTGTCAGTCTGTTCGCCCGACGAGACTTAATAATTAGGACAAAGTGAAGCATGTATGAGCTCGAAGAGTAAATGCGAACACGCCTGCCACGGAGGGTCTCCAAAACGAACTAGTCAAAATTAGTAACCCGAGTTCGGACTCCGTAAGCCCCGTTTTCTGTGAAAGCGTCGCGTATTAAGTCGGGAAGAAGGGGGATAAAGTGGGATAATGTTCCCGAAAAAGGTCGTGCTAGCTCGCGTGAATTGCGTTACGGATTCGGTTCTTGGTGCGCTTTTGTTTTATATCGTTGTCAGAATTAGCAGATCCGGTGAACCACGACACTGGGTTCGGAGAGAGGGGAGCTGGCGCTCGAGGGTGCTGCGATGCTATGCTAAGGAGCGCATGCTCGCGGTTGACTCCGAGATCAAAGCCGGCGGCCGTGTTTCGACGGAGCAGGTTTCGAAAGAACGGGTCGAGAGCCCTCTATATACGCTAGAGCGCGTACCGCCACTTTTCTCACGTCTCGTCGTTGTAAAAATGTGGTTGTCCAGCGTCTCGTCTGTTCTTTAACTTCATGCTTTTGAATAGGCCAGTCAGTTTTGCGAAGATAAAAAGCCCTACAAACTACGAAATTAGATAACGGAATCGGGAAAAATTTTGTTTTGCAGTCTGAAATTTGCGTGTTCTTATTTGCAGTTTGTGTCATGTAATGGTTAATGTTGTTTATTTGCTGTGGCAGTTAAAAAAAACAACAAGTGAAATACTATATTTATTTATTGGGTCAACGCGATCATTCCCTAACTGTACAACCCGGTTGCAGCTCGAATGCTGACCAAGTGCAAAATTTAAAGGAGGTATACCTTCGCAAAAGTTACGTGATCAGTTTACTTTTTCATTGTCGCAAGTCGTGTCGCTGTATCCTAAACGAGCGGTCCTACCTGAGGAAAACAACAATTTATCGTGGAATTTTACTTAGTATATATAGAATTCGAGCAGAATCGTTTTTTTTTTTCTGTCACTTAGACAGTCACTGCTATTCAGCGACGAGGAGCAACGTTGATGGTCGGTCGAAATAAAATTGACCTCTTAAACCGTGGTCTGAAATCACTTCGGCGAACCTCTCTGTCACGCGACACAGCTTTCACCATCGGACAATAGTGGCGTCGGCGTTTCCAATGGTGGCCCTGGCACCCATTAACTACAGCGTACCATTGCGTCGTCTCTTTTGTGCGAGGGAAGATAGAACGCATTGTACGCCAACTGATTCGCCGCGCGCGCTCCCGCGATGTGCAATAAGGTGGTTGGTCAGCGGCAACATCCACGTGACCCGGAAGACTTGATCGAGCACGCGTGGTGCTTGCTGGGAGACCCCTGTGCCCAGTTTGACACTAACCCCCGCATTCACAAACGCTCCTCGACTCGACTTCCACCCTTCACTTGACAGAGTTGAGCGCTGCGCCACCGCTCGGCTGAAAATGACGCTAGTTTCTCAAGAATCGCGGCAGTATATCGCTGATATGCAGTGACTTGCCGTGCCTAGAGATGACGCTACCATCGGCTTTTTCATGGGAAGGTGAAGCGTTGAGTGAAGGGACGTTCTAGAAACGAACAAAGTGGTTTGTTTGTTTAGTGTCACGAAGGGGCTGGAAATGGCACGCTGTTAATGCAGCGCTTTAGTGCTGCAGCGCATGACATGATAGTAGCGATGGCGTTCGGAATATGCTATAGTTTTCAGTCGCTGGCGCACGCACGGGGCTGCGAAGCACGCTGCTTCGCGAGAAGGTATAGGTTGCACGGCGCTGACCTTTGCTGACCTTTGCGTCGGTCGGTCGATGCTCCCGCGGCGCTGCACGTGTCAGTCCGCGTGATGCGTGGCTCGACCGACGAGTTTCGCTCACGTTTTAGTGGGAGGGAAACGCCACCTACCGACGCTGTACTGTATGGTGTCTGATTTGATTCGTCTTATGCGACGCGTGGCGCTCCGTAACGGGGCATTTGCAT